GGCCTGCACTGTTGACCCTTTTCAGGTGTCAAAATCCTCCCGAGATTCCACCGTGTTTTCGACACCTAGCGATCTCATTTTGCACGTGAGACGAGATTTGTTAACCAATACGAATTTTATATAATAAATATTAACAATAAACTTTTTATATAATAAATATATCGTAATTTTGAGCAACAGAAGCAAAGCAATTTTATTTTTTTATTTACTGTTAAAAAATTTACTGTATAATATATGACATATATATTATTTTTTATAAATTTATTAAAAAGATTATATAAATAAATAAAAAATGTTTCCATAATTTTTGTATCTGAAATATTTTGAGATTTTAAATGATGTGTACTACTTACATTTAAGAACAGAAGTTAAGAAAAAACATTGATGGCTTTTATCAGCTAAAAGACTTGGTGTCAGGGCCCTCCTACTCGCATTAAAGGGACATGTCCGACATCGGGACTATTGTGCGATAGTACCTACTGTGCATCTTGTACGGATGTCTTTATCGCTTTATGAAGCCCGTAAAGTGCCAGTAGTGTGCTCGTGTATCTCTGACACGAGAAGGAGGGAAAGCATGGTCACTATTGTTTATGCGTCTCATTAGATATACCGTTATTATCGATTCTCCAATGGAATAAAAATCAGCTCACACGATGTTTTACGTTTAAAGTGTTCTTTGATATGGTTTTACGAGCTTGCCGACAGATTTATATATTAACAGCATTTTTTTTACGTTAACTCTCTTCAAACAACTTTAGTTCTCTCTCTATTGTCATATTCACTCAATACTTTAAACTATATAATTATTTAATTTTTATTAAAACTATTATTATTTTATTTATTATTATTATTATATTTTATCTGTATACGTAATTAATTATCTATATACCTACATTATTTAAATATTTCTGCGAATATAAACAGCATGATAAAAACTTATATATATAATGTCCGTCTTTCTGCATTTTTATACCGAATAATATCAGCGATACTTCACCGCTTGTTACCCCAGTCGCACGCTTTATTACGACTGTGTTATTTTTTATCTGTTCTAAAAATCTTGTTCAAGACACTACACATAATCCGTACTCTAAACATTATAATCGCTCTAATATTTATATTCGAGAACTTTTCCCTTGTATATTATAAATATAAGCGAAAGAAAAAACCGTAAGAAATGTATACATGGCTGCGGGGAAATGATCATGATCAAGATAGAATGCTATGACCTTTGGCTGGGCTCACAATTCATGCCACGTGAATCCCGTTAGTCCTATATAACGCCTAGGGATGTTCAACACATTCACAGGGACGTGCACCACCGATGACATATTTCCGTGACGTTTATTAATCAATTTTAATTCCTGCGGCTATTAAACTTTTGTGAGTTTGCAATTTTCGTTTTATCCCGATTCTAATCAATAGAGGAAAAATTAGCAGCGTCAAAAATTAACAGCAAATCATACGTACAGATAATAGAAATACCTTGTATAAACGTACAAGGTCGTAAACGAACGATAAGGAAGTATCGTCGGCAATATTATTATAATCCATAACAGCGAGGAAATGTTTGCGCAGCGCGGCGATCAGCACATGTGTTTATGCAACGGGTAATTCGCTAAACGTCGATGATAAATGCAAATTTTTTTCAAGCTCAAGATTACAACGTTTTCATAAAGGAGGAATGTTGTCAAAATACAGGAATATACTGAATAAATTAATGAAGAAACTTGATCAAAATCAAAATCAATGGGGATAACAATCTTTTTAATAAAATTTTAAAAGTGAAAAAGAGAGAGAGTTATAAGCATTTAAAAAAAAAATAGAGAAAAGATTTATATTTAATAATTTATACTAATCAGTTTCAATTAAATTATATATATAAATTATGTTCAATTTATATATATATATAAAAGTTTTCTTCTCTTTTTTATTATTTTAATATTTAAAGTTGGATAAATTTAAAATATTAATATTCTCTCTTTAGTATTTTTTATTTTAATATTTATTAATAGTCTAATATTTTCAATTAATCTTAGTTGAATTATACGTTCCGAAATTAAATGGTTGAGTTTCGTGTAATCGGAGTGTCGAGCACGTATCACGCGATGTTTTCTTTTAATTACCACAATCGCCAAGTATTTCGTCCAACAAAGCGTAGGTGAGATTAATGATTCCCGAAAAATAAGGGGTTGTCTTCTCTCTTGTTTCATCAAACACGCGGAACAATTAATAACGCACTGATTGACTTAATGATTCTTAATCGACGGCATGGAAGAAAGGGTGAAAAATATCGATTGAAAAAGCGCAAAGAAACTGAAAGCAGATTTCAACGCAAATATTAATTTGTTTATCGCCGTAATTAATAATTTGTCCAAAGAATATCGATATTCTCTTTCAAAAAAGAAAAAAATAATTCTTGTGAATATAGCTTCTTCTAATTTTAAGTGCAAACTATATTGGCAAGTTATTTTTATTTCAAGAAGATATGCTCTCTTTTTATTAATGAAAGAATTAAATATTAATAATTTTACATTAAATTCTAATAATTTTTTTAAATTGTCACTTTTAAACTGTAGTAAAAATAATACGTATATCCCGGAAGTATTGAAGAGAAAATCAATTTTCACATTGTGATTTTTTTCCGATTCACAATAACGTATCAAGTATCATATCGACTCGAGTGTTGAAATTCGATCAAGATATAAGTCTCCCTATCTATACAAAGTAAACAAGTACGAACAATATATGTATACATATAGATTTTCGAATTGAAGAGCACCGGAATAGAGACAGCTTCGTTTTTACTATTAATCGTAAGGACGATCATGTGCAAAAATTAACGCGTGCCACTATTCACTATCCTTTTGCATTAATGGACGATATGCATTCATCTACTAGCATTAAAAAAGTCTATTTAAAATGTTTTCTCTTTTTACAAGCCAAATAAAGACTAGGTATCGATTACGAAATTGAGTTTTTATATAATTTGATAAGTAAACTTTATAAGCGTTCGATTTGATTCTGCACAATGTTTTTTATAATCAATTTAATTCTTGAATATTATTTTAGTTAATTAAATGATATTCTAATGCACTGGAGTATAAAAGATTTAAATATCTAAGTTAACATTAAAAAGAAAAGATAAGAAAATTTATTTATTCTCTCGTATTAATTAATTTATCTAAAATTAAATCGTTGTATATTGAATATTAATTTTATGGTGCGCAAATGTATTTCACTTTATATATAGAATTACTTTATATATAGAATTCTATTTTTTTCCATTAATATTTTAAATAAATTTAATATTCATTTATGCAAAGTTTTGTAGTTCGTTTAATTATATACCGAGCAAATTGAAAACACGCATAGAATTTCACTTTGTGGCAATTTTCTACCACATTTAATCGGAATTTACCAAACTAAATATTTTTCCAAAAGGCTATGGAAAAAAAAAATCATTTACAATTTAAACACGCGCAATAAGCTCGACGCTCAAATTCAGATATACTCGATTATAAAGATATATTATGCAACCGCGTACCAAAAGCATATCGGCGAGAAAATGCCAAATTTGGCAATCGCATCGGTCCTCTCAGTTAATTGAAATACCAAGAGATGATATGTAAAAGTATGTTTATTTTTTAGCAATAAGAAGAAATAAATTGCCTGATATAAAGATATTTTCCTGACAAAACCTTCATATGAATAACACGTATTTTCGTAATTTTATACTCCGTAATTCTCTTACGGATTTCACCAAGATAAAAATTTCCACGTGATATAAGGTAATGTTATTTTTTCATAATTCTAATAACAATGATTATCTTTAAATACTTTTATATTACAGAACTTATTTGCAAATAGAGATAGATTCGTTTTTTTTTTTTAATGTTATTTTGATTACGCACACAAACTATATTTTTGTAATTAGTTGAAAAAATTTTCTACTCGCAAAAATTATAAAATTTCATCTTAATTCCTCTCTTTTTATCTCTGAAAATAATTATGATTTTACTGGATAAAATTCGTAAAATAATAAATATATTTTCTCGTCGCATATATTAAATATAAAAAAGGGGAAAAAACAATATTCAATTTAGTACTCTCGTGCTCGTATGATATTTTCGGTTATTATATTATTGTCGCGTTGTCGTTCCCGATCTACGAGAGGAAATTTCCCGTGAACTTGATATAAACACAAATAACGCGACGCGATACATGCACATACATATACATCGCGACGAGTTTAATATTTGAACACGATAAATTTTCGCGCGCGAGATATTGTGCGTTAGTTGAAGTTTGTTTCTTGTCCAAGTAACGGCGATATAATGTCGAAATAAAAGCACGAACAATGGTGTATAATGAAAGAATGATTCTTCATGCTGTCGCGCGATTATGGCAGTATATATTATTATAAGATGTATCGAAGCATCACGCACACATACACACAATAAAAAACGGGATTTTAGAATTTTGAAAAGATTGTAATTATTGAGAAAGAGATTTGAAAAATATTATATTAATAAATAATGTATCTCTTGTTTCAATCAGATATCGTATAATATTGCAGTTTAATAATTTGTAATAATTATTATATACCTATATGTGTAGATTAAAATTGGCATTAATTAATAATTGTATTATAATGCGCACACAATTCTCAACATGCTAAAATAAAATCAAGCCGTGTATATAGACGCGCATATCCACACGCACAAACGAATAAATGATTATATGTAATACAATATATTGCTAAATAGAATTCTACGTATAAAATTTCGATCAACGATCGCGCGCGCGCGATTTCAATCGACTACAAATGGTTCGCGATATTTTACGCGACAGGTTATATAATCGAATGGATAAATTACTTTGAAAAATTACCCTATCTCACTACATTATACATATATAGTAACAATATTATACATAAGATATCGATAACCGTTCAAATCTATCACCGCGTAAAGTTGCAATCTTCAAGTAAGACTCACCTGATCCAGACGCTACGCTGAGCTCGATGCGTGTCTTGTGCGTATCCTACAGCTCTTGTCCGACACAAACACTTTTACGGATATGTTTCGAAAGAAATAATTCGCGCACTCGATATGTTTCGAAAGAAATAATTCGCGCGCTCGATATGTAAATGAAATCGGGACGGATTGACACGCCGCGACATAGCAGCTAACAGCGACGAGCGGCAAACGTTGACTGTGGCTCACTCCCTGTCCCTGACTGTACGGCAGTTACGGCACGCCGTGCGCCGTACCGTGCGCCGTGCGTCGTCTGACGTAGCGCGAGTGGGAGTTGGGAGGTGGGAGGATAGACAGGTGAAGTGTGGGGTGTCAATACAGGAGAAACGCGGCTGCGTAATCAACATTTTTTTGCGCGCACACGCGTTTACAAACAATAACGCGGTTATACATCGAGAATTTGACGAAATAGAGAATGAAAACACATTCCTATGACCCGTGATAAATGTAACGAGCGAATTTATATTTGGATGTATAGTAATATGTTGTCGTAATCGTTTCGCCATTGTACTAGTTACTAGATACTCGCTCACTTTTGTAGACCGATCGAAAAATCGCAATTACGATCGCGCGTACGATAATTCACGCGATGCGATGATCCCTCGTGATTTTGCACAACATTCTCGACACTTACGCCGCACGCGCGACGCATTTAAAACGAAACAATAACGCGTAAATGCGAGACACGGCGAGAACGGCACTAACGGTCGCTCGGGACAAGATCACAAGATCAGACATGATTTGACCATAGACATAAAAAAAGCATAGATCGCTCATAACAGAGACATATGCGCTGCTAATTTCACATCGTTCGCGAAAATTCAATTTATGTATGTACGTGATTACCGACGAGATATCATAAAGATATACGTCTTATGGGATTTATTATTCTTATATAGTGTGAGGGGAAAAAAACTCGCTGCGTGTTATTTTAGTTCATCGAGTTATTGTTTTATTACCGAAAATGTATATCTTTTATGTAACTGCCTCAATAAGAACGAAATAAACATTTTATTGTACCAAATTATCGTTTTATTATCGACAATGATTTATACTTACCTACAGTAGCACGTAGCAAGTTTTTTTTTCAGTCATGCTAAATTCCAGAAGACCCATCGGTCTTTAATGATATCTCGTCGGTGTTTTCGATAATAAAACAATAATAACTGGATGAACTAAAATAACCGTATGAATTAAATAATTCGTGTAATTATCTTTGATGCAGTCAAAACGGCCGGTAATGTCAGCATTCTTCAATTACCTCCGGGCCTATCGGACCCACACTTCATGGTCACAAAAATTTACCCAGGACTGACAGTCTTTAATAGTATCTCGGTGATATATATGTATTTTTCATAAGACAATCATTATCACGGTATATCGAGATTTCATACATCATATATCACCGACTAGATACTATTAAAGACTGTCAGCCCTGGGTAAATTTTTGGGACGCGGGTCTGAAAAAACATGCAGGTACGAGGAGTAGCTGAATCGGGGAATCGAACCCGAGTCTTTCGCTTTCCGGGCAACTGCTCTTACCACTGAGCTATTCAGACCTCACACCTTGCGCCACTTTAACACAGTACATACGATTCCAGAGCGATGTTGGAATCTCGCTCCATGGATGCAGTGCCGATTGCCACGGAGAGACGACATCCCTGTGTATATATATATATATCTCTCTCAAATACTACCATTACATTTATTACCATTAAATTTTATATTTCTGTCCTTATTGTTAGTATTAGCAGAATTATTTGAGAATTAAATAGAGACGAGGAATAAAAGCAGATTGTCCGGATAAAGTTTGCAAGTCATGATAAAGTAATGAGTATAATTATTGAAAATATAAATTCCCATAAGAAATCGCAAGAAAACCGTTCGGGGAATTAATTAGCATTAATTTAATTTTATTATAAACGGTATTTATATACGCATTGATGTAAGGGAAAATGCCGATCGATCGACGAAGGATCACCGGCTCTTCGAGCGATTTCGCCGGCGCGAAGTTTGCGCTTTATCTCGCCGCGCGCGTGATGTAAGAAGGCGGCAGGGCGGCACAACTGTCACTATCGCTGACCGCTGACGTGCGCGGCGAGAGGAGAGGAAAAAGAGAATAGAAAAGAGAAGAAAGGAGAGCGACGCATCAGGACAACAGGACGGTGGAAACCGGAAGAAAGAACGTTGCGTTTCCGAAGGTGTCACGTGCGCGTGTGTGTCCGTGCGGCGGGTGCACATGTGTGTGTGAACACTCCGGTGAACGATAGAGGGATCGCCGATCGCCGGAGGATTTTCGTTATGTATCGATTTACTACGTAAATATACTCTCTCTTTCCCACGCAGAACGACAAATGGAGCACACGGAATGAGAGTCTGCGGGATCGATTGCGAGGCAGGTAATATCTTTTTTTTTTTAGTTTTCTTTTCTTTCTTTTGTCGTACATGCGTTTCGCCGCCGTACTTCTTTCCCCGTACGCCTGCATTGTACAGGTTAGAAGACATCCCGTTACCGGGAACAAGGACGAGGACGACGGAGACGATGACGACGTTAGTCGTTAATTCGACGAGAAATGATGTAATGAGAAACTCGCGATTGGATCTCGTGTAATCGCGTGTACGATATATATTCCGCGCTACGTGTCCGCTTCGTCGATGTAAAATTTGCGGCGAGCAACTCATCTTGTAACCACATGTTTTTTCGATTCTGATAGAATATTTCTCGGCGAACTACATTAGATCTTTGTTTTTTTTATTGAAAAGATAATGCAAGACGTTGCAATTATGTAATATTACAATGATGCTGCCATAATAAAAGATAATGACAAGAGAGGGATATTAATAGAGTAAAGATCATACATTGTTATATCGAGAATGTGATTAATCCTCCCATTGACACATGTGTTTAGTAAGAAGACATGGATGCCGCAGTTATAGAAGTTTTACGACAGGCGGTCAGCCAAGACCCTAATGTCCTGAAATCTGCAGAACAGACATTGAAGCAATGGGAGATTCAGCAAGGATTTTATATAGCGTTATACGTAAGTTACTATGTAATAAATGAGAATTTATTATATAAGTCTATAATAATGTTTTCCATGCACGTATTGAATTTATGGAACATTGCATGGGACAACAATGATATATATTTATATATTAGATTATCTTTATTCAGAATTGCCTTACAATATTACCATACAGAGATGAGGGAAGGCAATTCTTACAATATTATATATATGATCTGAAAATATAAATGACTATAAAATTGTTTTCAGAATGTTCTTTCAAATCATTCCTTGGCTGTCGAAGTTAGATGGATGGCTATTGTATATCTAAAAATTGGAGTTGAAAGATACTGGAGGAAAAATGCACCAAAGTAAGGGATAATTTGTGTCAAAAAAAGAAAGTGTTACATACTAGAATATTATTATCGATATATACTTAATAATATGTATCATTATTTTAGCTCGATTGAGGACAGTGAGAAGGAATTTTTACGACAGCATCTACTAAGAAATTTTGAAGAACCTGTAAATCCATTAGCTGTACAATTAGCAGTTCTTATTGCTAAGATAGCAAGGTATAACATGTGTGATATAATATATCGTAATGAATTAATTAGCATGCTAATCTCTTTATTTCATATGTAGGTACGATTGCCCTAGAGAATGGAGTACGTTAGTACCAACATTGTTGGAAAATATAAGGCGAGAAAACCCTCTGGTGCAACGTCAAGCATTATTAACACTGCATCATGTTGTTAAGGCTTTGGCGTCTAAGCGCTTGGCCGATGGTCAGAGGCTCTTCCAATACCTATACGGAATCCTTTCTGATTATGGCGTCAAATGGGGCCGACGCCAGTCAGATACAAGAAGCCTTGGAGAAGGCACTCCTACTATTAAGAATACTTAGGCAGCTGATTGTAAATGGTTTTTCAAAGCCATCTGAATCTCAAGATGCCATGTTGTTTTTAAAAGTCGTTTTCGAGCGTGCAAGGACCTGTCTCGAGTGCCGTTAGTACTTTCTTCAGTATTATTTAAAAGAACTAATTTATATATTTATTTTATTTATATTTATTTTTGTTTATAGAAATGCGAACGCGTTTGATGTTTAATATGAAAACGGTATATCATTTTTTTTCTGCTTGTTTTTAGGAAAAACGTTAGCTTCTAGAGGCGTACAGATGGATGTGTGCGACAAATTTATAATACATTTGACCAAAGTTTTAATAGGAGTGTTAGAGATGCACCCATTTTGCTACGTGGAACTCATACCGACTTCCTTAGAGTTTTCCGTTTTTTATTGCTTTACAGAAGCAGGTCAGGCATTAACATACGAAAAATTTATCATTCAATGCCTGAATTTAACGAAAAATATTTTATTATCGTCATATTATAGACCAGCTAAAGTTAGTGAAGGTACATAAGCTGTATCATTTTTACTTGTTTAGATTATTTATATTATGTTCTATATATGTTATCTATATTAACAACAATTGAATTTTTTTTTTATGGGGAACAGAGACGAAAGATCCATTGGTATTGAGGGCGTACCAATTGAAACAAGAATTTTTCACACCAGAAATATTAACGGAAATTTGCTCCAGACTTGTCACGCATTACTTTCTTTTGACACCCATGGATCTTGAAACATGGGATACTCACCCAGAAAGTTTTGGTAAGCATAGATTTATATTCGATAAGTATAATGATACATTTTTACTTGTGTATTCCGAGTAATTTTATAAAGAAAAAAAAAACAACATTTTATAAATGTAGAAAACAAAATATGAAAAGTATTACTTTTTTCAGCTGTCGATGATGGTGGAGAGTCATGGAAATACAGTCTGAGGGTGAGTAATTAAAGGCATTGCAAGTATTAATGAAAGATTATATCTATAATTAATAATTATTATATAAATATATATCATGATTATTTATGGGAATGTATATTGTGTTGTAGCCTTGCACAGAATCCTTATTTTTGGCAATCTTCCATCAATTTAGAGACGTTCTTGCCTCGGTTCTGGTTGATCTAATGCGACAACATCATCAACCTGTCGATCCTAATAATTTGCATGCGATTTTAGTAAAAGACGCAGTTTACCGCGCGGTCGGTTTGGCCGCCTTCGATTTGTACGACGAGGTACCAAAAATATTATTAAATATCTCTCCCGTGAATATTTAATTGATTTAATAAACGTTTTTTATTCAACAGGTAAATTTTGATCAGTGGTTTTCGACGACTCTGAAAGAGGAATTAAAAGTTCGAAGTAATAATTATAGAATTATCAGAAGACGTGTGTGTTGGTTAATCGGCCAATGGACGAGTATGTTGATATTTTGCTGGAAGATAATATGCTTTAAGCAATTATTCATTACTTGTATTTTGTGAATTTTATATTTCTTGCAGATATTAAATTGAGCACGGAATTGAGACCGGAGTTGTACAAGGTCATGATAGAAGCATTGAATCCTGAAGAAGACTTGGGAGTTCGTTTAGCAGCGAGTAACGCTTTGAAACAGGCAATTGATGATTTTCAGTTCAATTCGGAGGAGTTTTCTCACTTCTTGGAACCAGTATTTTCGTTATTGTTTGCGCTTCTTAAGGAAGTGAATGAGTGTGATACAAAGGTACACAAAAGATAGACGTTTATTTTTTTCGTATCCTTGCAATATAATCTTGTGTTATTTCTTATGAATTTTTTTATCCTTTAGATGCACGTATTATATGTACTATCGTTTATTATCGAGCGTGTTGGCAGTGGAATTAAGCCTCATGTCGGTGCGCTCAGTTCGTATCTACCTGAACTTTGGCAACAATCTGAGGAATATAATATGCTGCGGTGTGCTATAGTGTCGACTCTGATACATTTGGAGAAGGTAAATATGTGATCTACCTTCGAATCAATAGATTGATGCCTCTTTTTCTAATGCTATCATGTATTCGTAGGCTCTAGGTTCTGAGAGCGTTATTCTGGAGCCATTGGTGGTAGGTGTTGTAGCTCTAAGTTGCGACGTCAATCAAGAGGGACATGTTTATTTATTAGAGGATGGATTGGAATTGTGGTATGCCTTGTTGGAAAATGCACCTGCTCCGACACCAGCTATAATGGATCTCTTCAGAAATATGCCAGCATTATTAGGTTAGCGATATCTTTAATGTTGTTAACAGTTGTTAATAGTTCTCGATGATATGAAATGATAACAGCCTTTTTGCTTATATTTTTAGATAAATCCACGGAGAATCTACGTTTATGTTTGTACATAATTCAAGCTTATGTGTTGTTGAACCCGCAAGACTTCTTCACTTACAGAGGCTCAGTGGTCATCGAAACACTAAAAGCGCTTTTGAGCGATCTACGGGCGGACGGCAGAGTGATGGCGTTGAGATTATTCGAGATCTGTCTCAGAGCTTCCCCTCAACAAGGCGCAGAACTGATCAAACCCATTTTATTAAAAATATTCGAGTAAGTAGATATTTTTTCTTTTTTGAAAAAGATTCATGTTGTATGGAGACTTAAAATATCATATTTTGACAGGAGTGTTTACAATGGCGAAGAGTATCCAATGGTTATGACTATGAATCTATCTATTGTTGCGAGAGTTTTGTTGAGTTCTCGCGATATTTTTGTACAGGTAAGAAAAATGATCTCAGCCGCGATTCACAGTGGACGGACTTTTTCAAAGATATGAATTGCTTTTGCAGGTGATCAGCGATCTCGCACAGAATATAGGTACTGAAACGAGAGAAGAGGTTGTGCTCGGAAAGATGATACATAGGTGGATCAATGGAATGCCGTTAGTGTCTCAGACCGAAGGGCGGAAATTATTAGCTCTCGCGCTTTGCTTTCTCCTTGGAGCGAACAGTCCGCCTACAGTTCTCGAATACTTTCCGTACATAATATCGAACATCGTCGAGACGCTTAACGACATCACTAAGTTTGACGATATGGGCTACCCAGTCGAGTAAGATTTAAGAAGCGTTTTTTTAATGCACAGATTACAATCGAAGTAAAGGCGAGTCATAATGTGAGACTTCAATCATTTCCAATGTTGTAATATAATTGGTAATTCACATAATAGTTTAATATTTATTGAAAAAAACAATATTATTTTGTTTCTGTAATTTCTTATAATCATTTAAAACAATTTTGCAGTCGTTACTCGCTGAAAAGTACTCCAGTAGGTTAGGTTAATTTATTGCAATTACTTCGATTGATTATACAAGATTTTTATAAAAAGTGGGCAAATATATCAAAACGTGTAATTAATGAGATGAAAATTATTTTAGTTCTTTAATGATCACTGATCAGCCCAGTCCATCACAGTACGAGGATGTGGATTACGAAACCGAGCATGCTCAACGACAGAAGAGACTCGCCTTCAGCGATCCTGTGCATAGTATATCCTTGAAAGATACTCTCCAAAGTCAGGTAAGCATCTTTTAATATTTTCTTTTGGATATTTAACTATTGCTTATAGACTGAAGATTCTTTTGAAATTGTTAGTTGATTATGCTGCGAAGTATAGTTGGGGATAATCAATTTGATCAATTGATGCTCACCCTCAATTCTGAAATTGACGAACAACTCAAGGACTACATATCGCTGTGAGAAAGGCGCAAGATCAAAACGCAATACAGAGGATTTCGATTATATAAGGTATGAGAAAAGAAGCTTTACAGCGCTCTTTTTTTGTGAAACGGCACTATTTTATTGTATGATATTACCATCTGTTTCATTGTATTAATAATGTTGATAATAAAAGATCCTACTCTCTCTTTTCGTGCTATTGGAAGGTTCCTTTCTTTCCTAATTTTGCTTTTGAATGCATAAATATGATTACTTAATTAGGAGAGAAAGATTTATTTTCTATAATGATTTTCAAAAGACTGTTACAATAAATGTATTAATTTGGTGTTAGCGCACACACACAACACAGTTAACATAAATATTTAAACTATATACATGCACAATTAAATTATATATATAAAAAATTATTTATTACAGAATAGTTATATTACCATGCAACATTGGAGTAATATACAACTACTTTATTCAATGATTTGTTGCAAGATGATAGTTGCAACGTTGACTTATTTACTTTTTACATTTGGGGGAAGATATCCTATCATGCGAATATATAAGATTATAATGCTTTTGTATATGAACGTATGACAGTGTCAAAAGCAATGTTATACAAATACTGGAAAGTATATATTTGTCACATTGTTTTCGAGTGCGAATATCGAATAATTTTTTTATCCATTTCTAAGTTTAAAAATAAAACTAAGAAGACATTAATAAAATGTTAATAAACATCTTAATATATTTTTTATTATGCACATTCCAATAAAAATTACTGTAATCGTGCATAAATAATATAAACAATTCTGTGATTATATATCAGTTACATATCGACATAAAGCGTTTACAAGTGTGTCGATATATATCGATATTACTATACACATCGATATTCCCACTCGTCTGAATGCGGCTTTATTCTCCCCTTCCCGCTCGCGCCGCAACATGACTCATTCGTCGCGACGACGCCGCGTGACGTTGGCGCTGTCTGTTGGTCGTGCGCATGGACATAGTATATCTAGACCGAGCGTTTGCCTTTATTTAAGGAGTGGGGCTAAAGATGCACGTAGAAAAGGACATACTCTGTTTCGTGCCCCTTGCGTTCTCTCTCGCTCGCACATAGCATAGCGCTCACTTTCGCCATGCTACGTGCGAGCAAGAGAGGACACAAGGGGCATAAAACAGAGTGTCCTTTTCTACGTGCATCTTTACCCCCACTCCTTAAATAAAGGCAAACGCTCGGTCTAGATATACTATGTCCATGCGCATGACCAACAGACAGCGCCAACGTCACGCGGCGTCGTCGCGACGAATGAGTCATCTTTTCTACGTGTACCTTGGCCCTCACTCCTCAACACTCGGTCTAGATATACTATGTCTATGGTCGTGCGCGAAACCGCGAACAGCTGTCGTCCGTGTGGTCTGTGTCAAATCTTGGCAGGGGGTTAGTCGAGTGTGTTGGATCTGCTCCGGATTACGGTGTGCTGGCGTGTTGTCTTCATCCAGCGAAGATTCTTCCTCGCGGTGAGTGCGAAATCGATTACATTCCCGTATCGCTCGTTCGAATCACTCCCGTTTGTCTCGCACGCCTTAAGCACGAATGCGTTATCACGCGCGTAATTCGTGTAACCTCGCTTCGCTCTGATTATGTATACGTTGCCCGGTATATGTACGCGCTCGATCGATTCGCGCTAACTCGCTCTCGCGATCAAAAACACCTGTCGCCGTCAAAAGACACGCACCGGCGATAACGTCGCTCGTGTTGTTTTACGATTGTTATGCCGGCGACCTCCTTACGTGATATTTTCGCGCCCGTCCGTCGTCACGAGATAGCCCGACGGATTTTTGAATGATCGCGAATGAGCGTGGGCGTATCACGTGACTTGATCGTAGTACATTGTAATTTGTTCCTATTCCGGGGAAATAAAAATCCATTGATCTTCTTGCTCGGTGTCTTGAATCTGCGCGCGCGCTCGATTTCCATTCTATTCACGTTTAGGAAATCCGGCTTTGATATTTATATTATTGCTCTCCCTTTTCTAGATTGTAGTTCTTTCTACGATACAGACAAGGATATATAAGCTCGATTTTAATTGACGTCAATTGAATCTAATCCGTAATTTAATTCCATAACACTGTTTGAATTAATTTTACAAAATATTCTTTTTTGTTAGGATCTTGTTAATGCTTGTATATTGGCACAAAGAGATTTTAAAATTTATTAATAATAAAATAAAATCTTTTTATATGGGGTAACATTTATGATTTCATTTCTGCATTTTATAATATTAATTTGTAACAGATATTCTAAAATTTTAAAGTTTTCTTTCTCTCTCCTTTTCTCTCTATATATATGCACACACACACACACACACACACACACACACACACACACACACACACACACACACACACACACACACACACACACACACACACACACACACACACACACACACACACACACACACACACACACACACACACACACACACACACACACACACACACACACACACACACACACACACACACACACACACACACACACACACACACACACACACACACATATATGTATACAAACATATAAAGAGAGAGAGAGAGGAAAATTTAAAATTTGTGCAGAATTTTAAAATATCTGTTACAAATGAATATTACAAAATGCAAGAATGCTGTTTGAAATATGAATATTTATAGAGAAAGAGAGAAAATATATTATAGATTGTATATGTATTACAGACAGTGATATGACAATTTAGTCATGTTCTCACATCGGTAGAATTGGCTCACTTAACCACAATTAACTCTAATTGGTATTGATGCGACCATCGTTAAATCGGAGATGTCACCATTTAATGTTTACTAATTTTCATTTTGGATGAGTTTCGCGGATTCTGTTAAAGCATCTCTGTGCGATACGCGTGTCGAAATCGAGCGTATCGACCCCCTTCGATCGCGCCTCGCTAATTGAAGCTTAATAACAAATAATTTAATATTCACCGTGAGGTGGCTTGAATTGTTACTCAGCGAATGCGAGCGAATATTGATGCTGGCGAACGCGGCAGAAAAACGCTCTCCCGCATTCGCGATCTCCCCGATGCTTCTTTTTATTGCATTTATTTTGACCTCCGACTTTTACCGCGTATCCACATTCGTCTTTGAGTTGTTTGAATTGCCGCGAACTCTGCGCATTTCCGGTCACGAAATTCAGAAATTTTGGTTTTTTAAACATATTTTGTGACCATTAGTTTGTAAAATAAAAAAAACGTACGTTATCAAATAATAGTAAAATAATACATTTCTCAAATAATGACAAATTTTGAATTTAAATCAACAATAAATTAACTTTGAATATTTTTCAATTAATGCAAAATTCTTTTAGTCGTGTGCTTGTTCAATTTTTCTTTAAATTTATATATAAATTCGACTGTGATTGAATTTGAATAATAGAAGATTAAAGTTAATTAAGATAGTTGAATAGAGAAGAATTGTGATTTTTTGGTAAAGAATAGGCAGATTAAGAGAGATAATGGAAATTAACTCTGCAAAATTATAAATTATTGATTTTTCCGGAAAGAGAAAACGGAAGTAAATTTGAAAATTTGTTTTTTCTTCTATTGTTTTCTGTTTATTATAATTTTTGTAAAGAATGTGCAGCAAATATTATGATTAACTGTTAACGAGCAGCGCAACATTAGCAATTACTTAGCAATACGGGAGATAAGATAATGATAATTCAAGAAGAAAAATAATAATTTTTTTGCAGCATTAATCTGGAAAAAATATATACTAAGAATATAGAAAAAAATACGTGCAATATTTAAAAGAATCACTCAATTTTTGAATCACACAACTTAAAAGCGTTTATATATTACATCACTTAAAAAATTTGTGAAAACTTGAATTTTATATCATATAATTTACTAAATTCTTTATTTTATGTTCTTACGGTCTTCCCATATAAATCTGATTATCTTTCGTCAATAATCCGTTATAAAACCAATAGGCATAAAATAAGTTGTTTATTCGAACAATACATGATTGAATTACAATTTATATTTAATACATACATAATTTGACATGATGAAATTTCAGTATTAATTAATATTTCAATGCATTGGATTCAATATGGGCGGACGGAACTTTATCGTAACTCGAATTTACTACATTTCGCTAATAAAATTTATGTCTATTTCCGTGTAAAGCACGCAAATTTCTTTTTTAAATTTTTATTGAAAAGGTTCTTTATTTATATTTTAATGCCGCGCCTTTTCAGAATTTTCACGAAAATTGTGAATACGAAACAGTAATTTATGTATGTCGCAATAATTTAATAATATATGACGGATAAAACTGTACGCAAAAACTGTCGCGCATAATTTATGACGATTTAGTATCATATAAATTTGAAGTGCATCGAAATGGATATGAAGCAGTTTTTGTGAAGGTATGATTAAATGATCATGCGAGAAAATTGTGCCGTTGAATTTTGCGCGATTATTACGATATCGCAACAGATTATCGATCATCCATAGATACCATTTATAAGAAATGATTTCATCCTGATTACTTTGCACGATGATTAGAGAATCGCGACTAAAAATAAGTATTATGCAAAATGAATGTTTTCGATGTCTTACATATCTAATTGAATGCATCATGACATTTAAATTAATACTGTCAAATGTAGCCGCATTGACAGTGTCGTTTAAAACATTATAGCGAGTCGAGTTAGTGTATATAATACACAATATTACAAGAGTGCTATATTATTATACTTTAATAATTTATGGTACAAAATATTTGTCACAATTTGTTTATTCTCCATAAAATAATAATTGCGACAGAAATATTGGCATGAGACAAATAACATAAATTCTTTGCGTTATCGTAATAATTAATCTTGACATTAAATCAATACGGGGTATATTAATCGCGTGGCGATTATTCTTTGAATTCTTTGAATTCTCATCAATATCATAACTATAGAATGAAATGGAAAGTTTGTTGGACATTTGTAAAAATCTGATTTTTATTCCTCGTCAATACAATAAACATATACATTTTTTAAATATATAATATTATATATAATAATTATAATAATATTATAATTATAATTAATAATATTATTTTAATTTGATGATTGGCTCTGTAAAAATTATTTATAATTTTATTAAATTATTTTTTCTTTATTAACGCTCTACTGCAATTAAATTTTAAATTCTTAATTCTTAACATTGGAATTAATTCATTTTAATGCATTGGCTACAATAGCTCGCCGGCATAACGAGTTATTCAATTGCAATATCTTTTCTTTTACGAGTCCTTTTTTAACGGAAATCGATTCCTCGAGAAATGACGATAGTATCTTATCACCGGTGAGCTTAGCGTATTTATTGCCAATTTCCATTTTGCAATTCTAACAATTTAGCATTTACTAGAAAATCGTTGTCGCAAATGCAGAATTATCGTAATTGCTTGGAATAGATTTACTCGCAGTGTTTGTGGAACGTGCAAAATTTTCATGATCGATAAGATCAGATTTTTGATAAATTAGCTCAAGATAATGTATGTTACTACGTACGATATGAACCAAACAATAACCAAAGGAATTATATAAATATATAAAGCATGGCACACGTATATTATTTTATGATTGTTTAGCGAAATATTAAGAAAAATTATTTGTTCTCCGTAAAATCATATTTATGTTTGAATAATTATCTATATGATACTCATAGAGAATTTTATTTTATTTTTTTCAGTTATTATATTTTATTACAGTTATTATATTATTACTTTATCTTTTCTTTCTTTGAAGATGACTCGAGAAAATCTTTTTTTTTTTTAAGTATACCTAAGCAAGTTATCTCTACCATGATGCTAATTTTAAATAACGCATTTAAGAAAATAGTGGTTTAAAAAAGTGTTTTCACAAAAACGTTAAAAAATCATATGTACATTTTATAATATAAGGAGTTTTGCTATCTATAACACCGTAAATTTTCTGGAATCGTCAGATATTTGAGATTAAAAATCTAGACAATTTTTAAATTTATCTTTTCATAATCTGTATAAAATGCAATATAAGACTCTACCATTTACAGAACATATCGTGTTATCAACATAAAGTGACAAAGGATGCGAGTCGCGTGACGGTCGTCGCCGCCTCCTGCCGGCGTGCGTCGCGTATTTTTAGAAAGATTTTATGTTGTAGCGGGGATGATTTGTACGACGGATGCGGTGGACTTCGATATCATTATGGTAGACGGAAGGGAAGGGTCTTATCGAGTGATAGCGGCACCATGACCCAGTCGTCGTATGTGCTATTCGGGTTTCTTAGCAACCGCCCCCGTCGCGTTAAGTTTCGCAAATTTGTAGAAAGTTTCGCGTCCCGTACAAATCAACGCCCGGCTCTCTTCGAGGAAAATTCCATTTCACTGATTTATATGAGACACGGAAACTAGAGTCGGAAACTCTGTTTCTGACTTGATGAGCTTCGCAAAGTTGGGAATGAGTGTGTGGTATTTATACGGATATTTCTCTATATGTAAAATTATCTGTTTATTAAAAAATTATATTCCTATGTGTTATAAAAAATTTATGTATTATAAAATTAATAAAATGTAAACGTTGAATGTATATCTATTAGAAATTTAAATATAAAAGAATTAAACAGTATTTATTAATACTGTTAATATGGGAAATAATTATGTCACACACGTAATAAAATTGCACAAAATTGCAGGCGATAATGTTTATTTTCTGTAAAGTAACTAAATTAATTATATTTAATTTTTGACGTGGAGAAATGTTATCCTTATTTTTTCCGCATAATTAATAAGGTCAATGCATGATGCGTCTTTACAGCATATCTGAAGCTTATCAAGATTGAACATAGTTGTTTCTCTAGGGAGTCTAATTGTTTGGGGGAAAATATATGAGTTGGAATGGAATAATTTAATCATAGGATGCGTTATACACTTGCACTAATAATTTTTAATTATTCCCGGCATTCACATGAGATTTGCAAAAAATGCATGGCCAATGGCCATTATGACACGTAAAGTTATTAACGTGGGTGGAAAAAGCTTTTGCTCTCTTGTGTACTGACAACACACACACATGCTTCTCACTTTTTAAACTTCCAAAGGTTTAAATTGTTTTTTTTTTTTTCTAAATCACGTTTGTTGTATCTATTTCAAATCACAAACAGAAATTCTTTTCCTCGCTATGACTATCATTGATGATTTTTTATTTAAAGAAATTATTGCGACTTATGTTAGTTCGCGGATATTTTGCAGAAAACGCAATTTAAAAAAATGTTTTGATCTTCATCTCTTTTTAGCGCTAATTGAGCGTCTCTTGGGAAATTAAAAGCGATAGTAGAGGCGACAGTTCACGGAGGAGTCTTAGGTTTGTCTTAAATTGAAAAAAATTACTCCGTGAGAAGATAGATCTCGCGACTCTCTTAAATGAGCGGCTACTCCGTCGATCCGGAAAGCTCAAGGTGAATAATTGGCAAAGAGAGAGAGAGAGAGAGAGAGATAAAAGAGAGAGCTTGTCAAATCAAGAGCTCGCGACAAATCGTATTGCGAGAGCTGAACAACGGTTATGAGAGTGGCACTGATTATATTCATAATCGATACGTCGTTCAGAATACCACCACTATCGTGACACACACACGTACACGCAAAGAGATCCTTTTAAAACAGGACGATATTAATAAGTCGTAAAATCGATTCACACACACACACACACACACATACACACTTTGCGTCGTCTGCTCATTTGCTCTTATTACCGATCTCGTTTCTTTGAAAGGTTTGTTTATCCTTGTAATTTTTATCCAATCATAAAGAGAGTTGTGTGAGAGGAACTTTCTTACAGGACAATGTACGCGTAGGTCGTCGACTCGGAAGAATATTCGAGAAATATCAGGGAAGTCACTCTATTTATAGAATATGGCGTTGGACAGATAATTCTGATAGAGAAATATGTCTCGTGAAAAATTCCAAGCACTTCTTAATGGTTACGTAATGTGATAGGCAAGAATTTAGAAATGTTAAGTGCAGGGTTTAACATACTTTATATAAGATGTAACGGGTAGTAGAACTTTATTTTAGTACTAAATTGGAAAAATATATTGCATTTGAAGTATTTTAATGCACACATACACACACACGCATATATATACACATAATCAATATAAAATCTATCTTTCCCATTGAAAATTATATAACAAATGAAAGAAAATAAATAAATATATTTTCATTAATTTTTTATCATTTATAAAATGTGATATAAATATTTAATGTAAAATTAGTAAATTTATCGATTTATATATAGATTGTATCTATTCTTTTTTTCAATTTTTATTACAAGTAAAAATGATTTATCATCTGTGCTATTAGATATATTTACTATCTGTACTACTAGATATATAGTTTTCTTTCCATGACGATTTTATAATTACTATAAAAAACAGGAATATAAAATATTATATATTAAATAGAACATTGTACGTATATCTGATATTAATATCTGATATTACATAAACTTTTATTTTTGTTCATGATCTTATATTACTATGCTATCTAATGATCCAATTGCGAGAGTGAATTGCGCTAGTGAGAATGGGGATTTAAATGTTGTCTTATTCTAAAGGGTGACAAATATTGTTCATCCCATGTCGATGCTGCGCGTGCGCGCGTATTCTCACGAAGTGAGCGATATACCGCACCACAATGACTTTTATAACCGTCGCGGACACCCGGTATAAGCGTGGAGGAAGCAGAAGTGCGCGAATAAAGTCGAGGGTTGCGGCGCACGTGGAAAGAGGAGAGAGACGGTGATGGGGAGAAAGGGCAGGCAGCGGTGGATCTTGAAAATTTTCATAGGGGATACCGCATATATGCAGTGTAAAAATACAAAATTTAATCATCGAATTAAAGAGAGATAATTATTATCATTGTTGAAAAATTTTGATATTTTATTTATTATCACGGGATAATATCTCGAATCTCCTATGAGAAGCATTTTACAAAAAATACGCGAAAATATTTGAACTATCCGTGTAGTTTTCTCCCTGGATCCGCCCCTGGCAGAAGAGGCGGCTATCGCGAGAGGGAGAGAGAGAGAGAGAAAGAGAAAGGGGAGGAAAGGATACCGAAATGAGGGACAGGAGGAACGGAGGGGAAGTCAGCACGAGAGAGAGAGACAGAGAGAAAGAGTGGAGGGGAGCGAGAGAGATGGAGAGTCCGAGCCGTGGTCGCGTATCGATCGGCCAGCAGCAAAACTACCCCCTAGCAGGAGACTTCGCAGTGTGCGAGGGACCGACCACGTACGAGAGTAGTCCGGTGGTGCTCTCGCTCGGTGCTCGTGGGCCCACGCGGATACCCCTCACGTTCCTCACGCACGCACGCAAGCACGCAGGCAGGCACGCACGCATATCCGTCCGCTCGCCGTCGTTCACACATCGTCATCCACGGCGGGTTATTTAGGGGTGCATTTAGGGGTGCATCCGATTCGCCGAAGGGCCGAAGGTGAGGAGACGAGTGTCCTTGTCGTATTTTCGCGTCACTTTCGCACCATGTAACGCTCCGCGCGTTATGTTGCGCACTGTCGCGTTTGTTAGATTCTTCCCCTCCGGTGAGGATTGTCACTTTCCTTTATTCGATATCGTGTACAAGCGTGTGACATTATCTATAGCTCTCCGGAACGGATGTGTCGTCTCGTTCGCGGATTATAGATCGCACTGAGACGCGGTGTCGCTGAGTATAAGCGAGCTTGAACGACGATGAAAGTTCTTTAACTATCATCGGTCGCAGACTGTGAATCTACTAACACGATTGTCTTTATCTGTGTGATAACCCTCTTAGTCTGTCTCTCTCTCTCTATATATTCTACTTCTACTTTTGATATAGCATTTACTACATTGTGGAATTTTCTATATTACAGAGAACTATGTTATATAGCCCTCTATATTCTAGTGCCACCTACTTACGTTATTCTTCTTTATTTCTTACACCTTATTACAGTATATTATGTTATAGTCTTGCGTTATATTCGCGTATTCTGTTATAATCTCCTATACTTTCATAGCTTCACACATTTAATCTTTTATTTTATATTTATATCTAAAATTCACTATTTTAACTGACGAAATTTTTCATTTTGTTATTATCTTCTATGTTTTAATAATTATATTATTATTCAATAATATATAATTATTTTATGCTACTGTCATCTTTTTTACTATCATTCTGCTGATACCTGACAGAGAATTTAGCTTAATGCGACAATTTAACGCTCAACGACACAACCAGTATTGTTAGTTTAATCGTTACTACTACTAGAAAATTGGGACAATCGCTGTTGCTGAACTGTGTCAGAACGATCCTCCATCTTACCGTCCTTTCGCCCACATTTTCCGAATCTCTCTCTTGTCTCCTTTCGCTTCTTCTACTTTCGGGCCGGTCGGGTCAATCGAACCATCCTGCTTTTAATGGAACGCCCGCGATCATTACGCCTAGTCTCTAATCCCATTAATAAGATTCATTAATAAGGACGTTGCATTAATTAGCGCGGTTCGTCACTAAGGGGATTTTGACGATATGCATGGCGATCGATGTGTGCTATAAGTCTAGACGTTAAGGACCTTCGCTATGTAAGCGGCAATTCGTTAATAAAAGCGCTCGTTCGCGAATTTTGCAGCCGGTTCGTTAACGAATACATCGATTCTATGATTGACAAGATTCACTCAAAAAAGGGATATCGATCTGTGATTTTTCACAGCGATTCTACGAGTGCAAAGTATTGTATAATTCGCGGAGTTCTTTGACTTGACACATCTTCGGCGAATTTCATCAGATTAATTAATTAATCGCGTTTAATTCCCGCGACTTTTGCGATCTTTGTCGATTGCTCGCATCAATTGTAGACTTTTTGCGCCTGCTTAGAGTGCTTTTCTAGTTTGATGTACGCTTGCTTTTTTGAAATTTGCATCAACAACTTATCCGAAATTTATGAAAGCATCGCGTTGTTATTTTTGTGGGAATCTGCCGATTATTTATGGCGTAGATTATCATCGTTATTTGTTCTTGATTGTTATAGATTTATTTCAAATACAGATTCAGATATTTTTAAAAAATTGCTCTTTATTATGTCAAATTGTTTTAGCTCAACGTAATATATTGGATCTCATGCAGCGTGACAAATGCGAGCAGCGTAGCACTTGGTTTTATTGAAATTTATTATGGACTTGTCGCTTATAGATATTGTACGCTTGTTTTGCTAAAAGTTCTCCATTAAACATCTCGATGCACGGAATTCGCGCACGAGACAACCATCGGTGAGAAATATATCGCTCGCTGTTAATGAAGCAAGTTTGTTCTCACAGATTCATTGTTTATAGATTTTACGAATAGAACTTTTGTACCGCACTCTGAACATCTCCGTGTGTGAATTCAATGATATACAATATTATTTTTATTAAGAGGCTGCTCTTCATAACTCATAATAACTCGCTATTTATGGGAAAAAGGATTTTACTGTTGTGGTAAAATCATAGCTGCTATTGCATATTTGATGCGAAACTTCGCTACCGTAATAAATTATTTGATATTACACAATAGAGCTTGTTTAGTTTCAAAGAGATGTTGCGAGAAAGTAACTTCGTTTACAGAAATCCGAGTTTGCTGAAGCAAATTTAATTTGCAGATGAAGCGAAATATTCCACTCTTAGCAAAAATTTTGACGTTACAGCGAGACAATGTCATTATGTCATATGTGATATAATCTCTCTCTTTTTCTCTTTCTTTCTTCTGTAAATTCAGCAGAATTATTTTTAGCAAATAAAATTAATATTCTTATAATAATTTTTTTTTCTTGTCGGTATAGTAATCAGCAAGGTTTGCTGTGACAGCATAAAATATAGACCGGCAAAATTTTTTTTGTTCCATGTTTGTAAAACATTTCATGGATTTATTATTTATAAATTTTTAGAATGCATGTTTTTTTTTATTATATTATAATATATCTATATTACTCGGGTTTTTATAGAAAATCGATGCATCCAGTTGGCCGTTTATTCATATAAGAATATTTGTATCACATATTGTTTTTTTATATGGATGAACTCATCGATCGGTAAACTCGTAATCGAGTATAATAGAGTATAATAGAGAATAATAGAAAAAGTCTCAATGAATAGTTAAATTTTATGAATCATGAATCTATAATGCATTATTCCTTTATTCTCATTAAAAGAGGAGAGAGCTAATTACATTTTATATAATACTTAACAATATCACTCATAGAACCTCTCTCATTGATTTAGTGCTTATGAACGTTAAGGAAAAAAGAGTCATCGCGCTAGCGATCCGATGTTGTACACGTGGTACGATACACGAAACATCGTTGAAAGTTTAATCATCCATATTAAGGTAATACGTTCTCGTACGTCAGGCTGCAAATTTGGCCAATTACTGGCGATGCATTGCTACTTAAGGGCGAATCTAATGCCAGTACGATGCCGCCAACTTTCGCGCAGTCGTTTCGTTCCCGTATCACGAATGCGCGGTGTCTTAATGCGATTACACGTCGCCGGGAAACTCACGATGGTCCCGTGATGCGGCTAGATTCTCCGGGGCCATCAGAATGTTTAATGCAATTGCGAAAACAAGCGAAACGAGGTAAAACGCGGGTTAATTATTATCTCTGTATGACGATTTGCGCGTGATTCAAGGAAGCAACGACACGACAGCACCATGGCGTTCGCCGGGCTCAAAAAGCAGATCAACAAAGCGAATCAGGTAAGTGCCTCTGTTTGCCGTGGAAGCTTGGCAATGATCTTCTTATGTGCGCATTAAAGGATCAGATCAATATTCCGCGCATAATAATTTATTTGCTAAAATCATTAGGAAATGGATAAAGTACTTGAGGCTCTATAATTTTATTCACATTGTTTTGTTTATCCAAATATTTGTTTCTTGTGTATTAAAAATGGGAAAATCAGAAATTATCTATATTTAATATTGATTGATAGAATTATCCGAAGAACCGTCTTGTGTCTAGATCATTTTTTTATCGAAGAATTTTATAAAACATACACAAAAATCCGCGTAATGGAAATTCGAGTCTTGCTTCGCGATTTAATTGCTCTAATTAAATCATGCGAGATACCTTACGCGCGTCTATTAAGTTATTATTGATTTAGTGCTTATGAACGTTAAGGAAAAAAGAGTCATCGCGCTAGCGATCCGATGTTGTACACGTGGTACGATACACGAAACATCGTTGAAAGTTTAATCATCCATATTAAGGTAATACGTTCTCGTACGTCAGGCTGCAAATTTGGCCAATTACTGGCGATGCATTGCTACTTAAGGGCGAATCTAATGCCAGTACGATGCCGCCAACTTTCGCGCAGTCGTTTCGTTCCCGTATCACGAATGCGCGGTGTCTTAATGCGATTACACGTCGCCGGGAAACTCACGATGGTCCCGTGATGCGGCTAGATTCTCCGGGGCCATCAGAATGTTTAATGCAATTGCGAAAACAAGCGAAACGAGGTAAAACGCGGGTTAATTATTATCTCTGTAT